GGGCTGCACCTAGGGATTGGGCCTGCCCTCTGCCACCCGGGAGCAGGCCTAAGCCATCAGGGCGTTATCTCCCGAGGGGTCCCAGACTGCGAGAGGGCACAGGCCAGGCTGAGGGACCCCTCCTTCCCCCCGAGTGCACCAATTTTTGTGCACCGGGCCTCTAGTACAATAATAAAGGTGCTTTCTCTCTCCACTGCCTTGTACAGGGGTTTCCTGGGTCAGAAAATTTTAGTTTTAATTATATTTCCCCAATGCCACCCTCTGTGGCCTCCCAGTGCACTTAGAAAAAACCCTGAAGTCCACGCATTGCCTGGAGAGGTGCTGTGTGACTTGAACCTGTCGTGGTTTCTGGCTGCAGCCGTACCTCCTACTCCACATTCAACACACAGAGCCCACCAAGCCCACCCCTTCCCCAGGGTGGGAACCCTCTCCTAGATCTTTTCATCTTTTCACCATGCTCACCTGTCTCACTCACACCGCCTCCCAGTCCTTCCATCACTGTGTCACTCACCCCGCCTCCCAGTCCTTCCATCACTGTCTCAGCTCACACCTCCCACCGCCTTCCATCACTGTCTCACTCACACCGCGTCCCTGTCCTTCCCATCACTGTCGCACTCACACCCCCTCCCAGTCCTTCCATCACTGTGTCACTCACCCCGCCTCCCAGTCCTTCCATCACTGTCTCAGCTCACACCTCCCACCGCCTTCCATCACTGTCTCACTCACACCGCGTCCCTGTCCTTCCCATCACTGTCGCACTCACACCCCCTCCCAGTCCTTCCATCACTGTGTCACTCACCCCGCCTCCCAGTCCTTCCATCACTGTCTCAGCTCACACCTCACACCGCCTCCCAGTCCTTCCCATCACTGTCTCACTCACACCGCCTCCCAGTCCTTCCATCACTGTCTCAGCTCACACCTCACACCGCCTTCCATCACTGTCTCACTCACACCGCGTCCCTGTCCTTCCCATCACTGTCTCACTCACACCACCTCCCAGTCCTTCCCTCACTGTCTCCCTCACACCACCTCCCAGTCCTTCCCTCACTGTCTCCCTCACACCACCTCCCAGTCCTTCCCTCACTGTCTCCCTCACACCACCTCCCAGTCCTTCCCTCACTGTCTCCCTCACACCACCTCCCAGTCCTTCCCTCACTGTCTCCCTCACACCACCTCCCAGTCCTTCCCTCACTGTCTCCCTCACACCACCTCCCAGTCCTTCCCTCACTGTCTCCCTCACACCACCTCCCAGTCCTTCCCTCACTGTCTCCCTCACACCACCTCCCAGTCCTTCCCTCACTGTCTCCCTCACACCACCTCCCAGTCCTTCCCTCACTGTCTCCCTCACACCACCTCCCAGTCCTTCCCTCACTGTCTCCCTCACACCACCTCCCAGTCCTTCCCTCACTGTCTCCCTCACACCACCTCCCAGTCCTTCCCTCACTGTCTCCCTCACACCACCTCCCAGTCCTTCCCTCACTGTCTCCCTCACACCACCTCCCAGTCCTTCCCTCACTGTCTCCCTCACACCACCTCCCAGTCCTTCCCTCACTGTCTCCCTCACACCACCTCCCAGTCCTTCCCTCACTGTCTCCCTCACACCACCTCCCAGTCCTTCCCTCACTGTCTCCCTCACACCACCTCCCAGTCCTTCCCTCACTGTCTCCCTCACACCACCTCCCAGTCCTTCCCTCACTGTCTCCCTCACACCACCTCCCAGTCCTTCCCTCACTGTCTCCCTCACACCACCTCCCAGTCCTTCCCTCACTGTCTCCCTCACACCACCTCCCAGTCCTTCCCTCACTGTCTCCCTCACACCACCTCCCAGTCCTTCCCTCACTGTCTCCCTCACACCACCTCCCAGTCCTTCCCTCACTGTCTCCCTCACACCACCTCCCAGTCCTTCCCTCACTGTCTCCCTCACACCACCTCCCAGTCCTTCCCTCACTGTCTCCCTCACACCACCTCCCAGTCCTTCCCTCACTGTCTCCCTCACACCACCTCCCAGTCCTTCCCTCACTGTCTCCCTCACACCACCTCCCAGTCCTTCCCTCACTGTCTCCCTCACACCACCTCCCAGTCCTTCCCTCACTGTCTCCCTCACACCACCTCCCAGTCCTTCCCTCACTGTCTCCCTCACACCACCTCCCAGTCCTTCCCTCACTGTCTCCCTCACACCACCTCCCAGTCCTTCCCTCACTGTCTCCCTCACACCACCTCCCAGTCCTTCCCTCACTGTCTCCCTCACACCACCTCCCAGTCCTTCCCTCACTGTCTCCCTCACACCACCTCCCAGTCCTTCCCTCACTGTCTCCCTCACACCACCTCCCAGTCCTTCCCTCACTGTCTCCCTCACACCACCTCCCAGTCCTTCCCTCACTGTCTCCCTCACACCACCTCCCAGTCCTTCCCTCACTGTCTCCCTCACACCACCTCCCAGTCCTTCCCTCACTGTCTCCCTCACACCACCTCCCAGTCCTTCCCTCACTGTCTCCCTCACACCACCTCCCAGTCCTTCCCTCACTGTCTCCCTCACACCACCTCCCAGTCCTTCCCTCACTGTCTCCCTCACACCACCTCCCAGTCCTTCCCTCACTGTCTCCCTCACACCACCTCCCAGTCCTTCCCTCACTGTCTCCCTCACACCACCTCCCAGTCCTTCCCTCACTGTCTCCCTCACACCACCTCCCAGTCCTTCCCTCACTGTCTCCCTCACACCACCTCCCAGTCCTTCCCTCACTGTCTCCCTCACACCACCTCCCAGTCCTTCCCTCACTGTCTCCCTCACACCACCTCCCAGTCCTTCCCTCACTGTCTCCCTCACACCACCTCCCAGTCCTTCCCTCACTGTCTCCCTCACACCACCTCCCAGTCCTTCCCTCACTGTCTCCCTCACACCACCTCCCAGTCCTTCCCTCACTGTCTCCCTCACACCACCTCCCAGTCCTTCCCTCACTGTCTCCCTCACACCACCTCCCAGTCCTTCCCTCACTGTCTCCCTCACACCACCTCCCAGTCCTTCCCTCACTGTCTCCCTCACACCACCTCCCAGTCCTTCCCTCACTGTCTCCCTCACACCACCTCCCAGTCCTTCCATCACTGTCTCCCTCACACCACCTCCCAGTCCTTCCCTCACTGTCTCCCTCACACCACCTCCCAGTCCTTCCCTCACTGTCTCCCTCACACCACCTC